TGGCATCTGCTTAGTATACCCATCATCGATAGAATAAATGGGTAATTCTGATGGTTTTATTAATTTCTTTCCTTGTATTTCATTATTACAAGGTACAGGATGTTCTTCAGAAATTGGGGGTTTCATTGCTGGTACTGCAGCACATAGCCCACACGGCATCAAGAATTTCTTGAAAAACTTCATGTAAATATATATTTGATTTCTGTTTTCCATATTAGTAATAATATTTTAATTACTTTTGAGAAATTGTTTTTTGTATTTATTAAAATTATATTCAATGATAATAAAAATAAATTAATAAAATTCATTAAAAAATTCTTTTATATTTTATTATATATTTAATCAATAGATATAATTAAGAATAAAATAAAATATGAAATGAAAAAAAAATTAGAAAAATGAAATAATAAATAATATCGAATGCTAAATAGTATTGCATTATTTTGTAATTACCAAAGTACGTTGCATTTTTAGAATAAGATAATGATAAGTCTCTCAAAAATACAAATTATATTAAAACGTTTTAAATCATTCGTGAAAATATTTAAACATTATCTCGAAAATTATAATTTGATATTGATGATGACATTACTTTAACAGACTAAAAATTTCATATCAAGAACGCGACATCTAGTGCTATTTTTAAGTAGCGCAATTAATTACGAAATAGTTATATAAAAGAAAATTAAAATTTTATCAATAAATCTTTATTATTATTTAAATTTTATTACTTCTTAATAATATAAATTTTTTTTATTATTAAAAATAAATTTTTAAAATATTTTTTACTAATAATATTTAAAAAAAAATGTTATCAATTTCTATTTCAAAATTAATTATTTCAAAAATAATTATTTAATTATTGATTTTAAATTTTAATCGTAGAAGCTAATTAAAACTGATTAATATTAAAATTATAAATATATTCTTGAAATATAAATTTATTACAATATATAGATCTACTTACTAGATATCCAATTCAATTTTAACAAAAATTTATACAGAAATAAAACATAAGACTTAAATATTAAAATCAAAAATCGTACATCTTGTATTTACAGTTTTTCACAGAAAATTGACATAATGTATCAAGGTTTTGTTTATGTTGTCAATTCATAACGGTTAAAAAAAAGAAGATCGGATAGCTACGCAAATTTTATTTTTCCTATAATTATATGTTATTATATATGATAAAGATTAAAATGAGATTAAAATTTTTTCTTCTAAACATGAAATATAGTATATTGCCGCGGTTATATTTTTCGTTCCTAAATGTAATATTCATATTTCTATTTATCCATAAATAAAAATTTATTTTATAATTTGTTGATATCTTAATAGAATTATGACAATAAACTAAAAAAATTATTACTTGAATACATACTTTTATACCAGTTCTTCCAAATTCTACTAATACACCTGGTTGATAATCATCGCATCGATGTACTGGTTCTCTACATGTCACATCTTTACCAAATAAACTTCCAATAGTTGATTCTAAGAATCTGTGTACGTAATTGTTCATAACTATATATTTCAAATGTTAGCGAGTTGCACTATTTAAAATTTTAATGATTGAAATTTATAATTTTATATAAGATCGAAGAATTTAACGAGCCATTTTTACGTGTGATTTTCCGCTATTTTCACACGTATCACTAATTTGTTTGAAAATATGTGAACAAAATAACACAGTTTTTTCTCTTATCATTATGTCATTATATTTAAAATACCTTTGAATATTCTAAGAAACAAGCATAATAATTTTTGCATTATTGTGCATCTTTCTATGTATTATAAATTTTATAAAAATATTCATGTCAAGAAACATAATAAAATTAAATATTTAAAAATAAAACTATTAATTATTAAATGCAATTATGCTAATAGAATAATTTTCTTTATATATAATTTTCTTTATAAATATTTATCAAAAACTCAATAAATAAATTAATCAAAATCAATTAAAATCAAATTATTTTCTTAAAATTAATTTTTAATTATTATTAAATCATTAAAAATATTTTTTCATCTTCTAATTTAATAAAATTGATAATAATTTAATACAATTTTAATATACATATTTATACATATATGAACTTTAATAAAATTTAGAAAAAATATATTAACATGTTCAATGCAAATATCACTTTCACATTAATTGTGTTAAAGTATAATACATGTAAAAATAAATTTATTAAATATAAAATAAAATCTCTAAGCAAAAATAAATATAAATTTCTTAATAAAAAATACTTTTTAAATTTTTATGGTTTCAATATTTTACTGAATTTCCATTTATACTATGTATACTTTATATAACTATATTTTATGGCAATATATTAATAGTAACTTTTATCTTAAAGCTAATGTTTCCCAAAGTTTATCTTTCTTCATAATATTAATAATCATTTCTTGACTAACAGACCATAATCTAGTTGCAAGTGCAGAATCTAATGCAGCATTTGATGGGTCACAACGATAACAATTATTGAATAACATCCAGTTACACCTTCCAATTCTGGAGCAGTTGCACAGAAAATTGATGTACTAGCAGCTTGTTGCTGTAAAATTTTAAAAATTATATAATATTTATTAAAAGAAGAATTCTTAATAGTTAAAATAAATTAAGATTTTTTTTTAAATAAATAATTATCATACCAGTGATTTTGTAAAAGGTCTTACTAGCATGAATAATAATCGCAATGTCCATGAATAACGAGATAATGAAGAAGAAACCATATTACCAGGATGGCAACTAAAAACATTTACAGAAGGCCAATATTTTGCTAATTCTTGCGCAAATAAAATATTACATAGTTTTGAATTATTATATGCTCCCATAAACCAATATTTATATGCAGGAGGAGATAAACTTAATTGGTGAAAATCTTCTACTGTTCGTAAAGATGAAAATCTGTAAATAAAAATAGAATATCAGTTATATTATATATCAGTTTTTATTAATGAAAAATAAAAAATTATTATTATATAATATATGCAATATTATATTTATTAAAAAATTTTGAATACCTATGTGATTCACTTGAAACTACTACTACTCTAGAATTATGACAGCTTCGTATTGGATGTTCTAATAAGAGAGTAAAGTAAAATTGAGATAGATGATTTACTTGAAATGTTGTTTCATAACCATCTTTTGTAAGTTGATAAGGAATTGCAAATACTCCAGCATTTAATATAAGAATATGTAAAGTCCTAAAATTTTAAGATATATTAGTAAACCAATAACAAATTATATAATATTAATCAAATTATAAATTAAAATGATTAAGTTTTTATGATAATATTGACATTATTATTAATTTACATGAAATAATTAAAGAAATATAATTTATAATATACATATATTATTTTTATTAATTTATAATATACCTATATTTTTTTATTAATTTATAATGTACCTATATTTTTGCTTAAATTTTTCAGCTGCTTCTCTAACACTATGCAATGATGATAAATCTAAATGCAATGTTTCACATAATACATTTTCTCTTTCTTGTTTTATTTTTTCTACTGCTTCTGTACCTTTTTTTAGATCTCTACAAGCTATAATAACTGTACAACCATGTAGAGCTAATGATCTAGCAGTTTCAAATCCTTAAAAATTATAATAATTTGATAAACATGATATTCTAAATTATTTATACAAGATTATTGTTAGTCATAAATAATTATAATAAATGAAAACATGAAATAATTAAGGAATATAATACCTATTCCAGTATTAGCTCCTGTAACTATGGCAATTTTGCCTCTTAAATCTCTTCCATGTAAAACAGATAATGCTGTACTACTACCATCAAAACGTTGTCTCATAGGATGTGATAACTCTCTATATTCCGTAGCAAATGCAAGTCTTGGATCAGTATAGGTTGTTGTATGATTTATATGATCAACAAATAAAACTTGACCATCTTCTGCTACACGTCTTTCCCATCCAGATGGTAATTCTTATTAACAAATAATATTATCAAATTTTATTCATAATTATAAATCTTAAATAATAACTTTTTAGAAACTGTGTAATTGATTATTAATTTCAAAACATATAGAAATAAATATTTAAGTGATAATTATAATATAATAACATTTTATATATTATTATTATAAATATATAAACTTATTTGTATAATTTTCTATATTCAATATAAATAGTTAATTAATAATTTAAATGTATATTAATATGTAAATTTATATAGTAGTAATATTATACCTCCTTCAACAGTTTTTGTACGACCAGTCCTAGGATGTGTCCATTGTGTGCCTTTTGTATAATGACTAGAAAAAAATAATATTATTATTTATAAATAGATATTTTATAATTATAAATATATAAAATTTTTAATTATTTCATATTAATATTTAAAAATTTGATATAATATTAATTTTTATTAATAACTATTAACGAAAATAATGATAATAATAATATATAATATAATATTATTTACTTTACATAATAAACATTTCCATTAGCAGTTGTCATTTCTTCCCATCCAGGTGGTAATTCATCTTCACTGTCAGAATCATTTAAAATACCTATCATTTTTTTTTGAGATTTTTATTTTTATTATTTTATATAAATTTATAACTTTTAATCACTTTACTCGTGATCGACTTATGAAATTGATAACTTATATATTATTCATGTATAACAACTATATACGATATACGGTGGATAATAACTGTTACCAACATTATATTCAGAAAAAAATATGATAATAATATTAATAATAAAATAAAATTTTTTATTAAAAATGATTATAAATTAATTTATTAAAATTATTGAATAATTATTTCAATTATAATATATAATATGATTTGTATAAGAAATATATATATATATATGTAAGTATATAATTTTAATAATTAAAGATATAAAAGAATATATTATATAAATAATTCAAATTTTAAAAATTAAAATAATGAATGCAAACTTTGCAAACTTAAGTTTAAATACAATTTGATTCCATTTTGAATGAAGTTAACTGTGAACCGCACCCGCATTTTACGTACAATCGATAGCAGATTTCATTTGTGTCAAATGGATAATGGCAGCGACAGCAATTGATATAATGTTGCAAAGTAATGGATTTCATTCAAAGAAAAAAGAGGATTCAGAAAATAAAGATAATTTATGGTATGTTTAGAATTTTTTTTGAAATTTTTGAAATTTTAATATAAAGTATACATACTCTTAAGCAATTGCAAATTATAAATATTTTATTGTATTTTTCGTTTTATGTTACATTAAAAAATGAGAAAATTAATCATTTTTTTTATGTTATTATATATATATATATGTTTTTTATATAGGTCCTCTATTTTGGCTGAAGTACAAAACAGTAGCAGTAATAAATTACCCTCAAATAAGAATATTCTTGTCTTAGGTAGGTCTGAATTACTTTTCTTAATTAATACCAAATTCTGAAGGAATATGAATGTTCTATATGATGTTATATGTTATAATATATATGTATACATAAAATATATTATAAATATAATATTTTAATGATATTTTCTATATATATATTATTAGCTTATTGATTTCTTCACGTTTTTAAACTTTTAATTCATTTTTATAATTATTTTATAATATATAATTTTTTATTATTTTTTATTAGTTAATAAAATATACAAAATAAAAAAATTAATTAATTATATAAATTCATAACATAAAAAATATTTGTAGGTGATAATGAAAGTGGAAAAACAACACTCATTGCCAAATTACAAGGTGTAGAAGATCCAAAGAAAGGTTCTGGTTTGGAATTTGCATACATTGATGTGAGAGATGATTATAGAGATGGTAATATTAAGAATTTATAATGTCTTTAATTATAATAGATAAATTAAATTATAATTAAAAATTTTAATATTAATTTATTATCTAGATCAAACAAGATTATCTGTTTGGGTATTGGATGGTGATCCTGGTCATGCAAATCTTTTAAGATTTGCATTAAATGCAGAAAGATTTCCACATACCCTTGTTATGTTAGTTGCTGCAATGACAACACCATGGGCTATTTTGGATCAACTTCAATCTTGGGCTGCTCTTTTAGGAGATCATATTGACAAATTACCTTTAGATAATGATACTTGGCAACGGTGTAGGCAATTAAGTAAGTCATATTTTTAAATTATTTATTTTAGTTATATCTAATTATATGTAAAAATTGATTTTTATAATTCTACTATTTTAAAATTTTTAATAATAAAATAATTTGAATATCTTATATATTTAGATGTAAAGAAATGGCAAGATTATACAGAACCTGGAGATGAATTAGATCCTGGTAGTCCTTTAAGACGTACTAGTCGTAATTTGGATGATGATGCAATGGATAACTTACCATTACCAGAAGGGGTACTTACAACAAATTTGGGATTAGATGTTGTTGTTGTTATTACAAAAACTGATTACATGTCCACGCTTGAAAAAGAACATGATTACAAGTAAGATTATATTATGAATTATAATTGTTATAAAGAAAATATAATTTTAATTTTTTTAGAGATGAACATTTTGATTTTATACAACAATGGATAAGACGATTTTGTTTACAATATGGTGCAGGATTATTTTACACATCAGCAAAAGAAGATAAAAATTGTGATTTGCTTTATAAATATCTTACACATAGAATTTATTCATTACCATTTAGAACACCTGCTTTAGTTGTTGAAAAAGATGCAGTTCTTATGTATGTAATTTTTCTTAAAAATTGAAGTAAATATTTATGATTTTTTACTATTTTAAAAATGTCTTTAATTATAGTCCTGCTGGTTGGGATAATATGAAAAAAATTAGCATTCTTCATGAAAATTTGCAATCAATGAAACCAGATGATTATTATAGAGATGTTATTGCACAACCATCAATAAATAGAAAGGTTTGAATACATATGAATATATTTTTTTAACATTAAAAATTTTACAAAAAATTATTTTATTAATTAGTGTGTAGCTAGAGAAGTAGAAGTACAAGCAGAAGAAGAACAAGCTTTCTTGGCAAAACAACAAGCTGCATTATTAGGTGTAAAAGATCCAACGCGTTCTCCCACAACCAGGAATCAGGCAAGCACTGGACCAATTATTCAGGTTATACCATTTATAATTGGAGCATGCTTATCATATATATAGTTAATAATCATTCAGCATTGAATAACAATGTAGTTAATTTATCTACATATATGCTGTTATCATATTTTCATTTTTTAACAGATAATGCTTATTACATTAAAATTATCCTCACTTTAATACTTCAAAGTGATCTTAATTGATGTATTTCAGCATATATTGTTTTTTACATGCTTTTGGGAGTAATTGTCTCATATAATATTTACATTTCGTAATTAATTTTTTGTATATTAATGTTAAGATCATTAAATGTTTTTCATATTCATTGAGATCATCTAGATGAATTTATGTATTGTTTATTGGTCATACTTACATTCTATATTTACTTATATTAATATTACTTATATTAATAAGTTTTCTATTTTATAATTATAACAAATATTTTCAAAATTATATTATGTCATCATAAATTATATTTACTTACATTAAGTTAATGTTGAAGATGAATGTTTATGGATGTTAATATGTGTATTTTGTTAAATTTACAGTATAGAAAATAAATGTATTTGCAACTTCTTGATATTGTAACAGTCTAAATTTCAATTATTTATTTCATTGTTTAGTAATGTGGATTACTATTAAAAAGATATTAAATAATTCAATATTAGTACAATATCTTGGAGATGCTTTTTTGTAATGAACAATTAAAAGCATGTTCTAATTTTTGTGGTATGATCTGTTATAGTTATAACAGAAAATTTTTTGCAAGTATTAAATATTTTTTATATAGGTAGCATCGCCAAATAAAAAACTAGATCCTAAAGGTACTGGATCTACACAATCTGGAGAAGGTGTTTTAGCTAACTTCTTCAATTCTCTTCTTCATAAAAAGACTGGAAGTCCTGGATCACCAGTTGGTAGTGGCATTGGCACAAGTCCCATAAAAATTGGTATTTCAATTCATTATAAAAATTATATATTATAGATTCTTATAATCAATCAAAATTATATAAATTTAATTTATTATTTATTTTAGATAGCGCATCAGTAGATAAAGCAACTATGTGTAATGATGCAGCAGTGGAATTAGATCGTCTTACTCGAACGAAAAAGATTTCTCCTCCTAATTTAAATTCATCATCTGAATGTTAAAAAAAATATTTTTTCTTTGCGACTCAATATATATAGAGATAAAAATCAAGAATACGCAAATATTTTAATAAAATTTTGAAAATGATCTAACAAATATATTCATCTGATTCTTATCACATAATTTGCAATCATAATTAATATAAATTTTTTTATTTTATTAATGATATTGGCATATTTATAAAAAAACTTGTAATTGATACTTTATGATGATTTAAAAGAAGAATTTTTTGTTTACATTCATTATTTTATGATATATTTTATAATATATACGTGTTATAATCTAACATATAATTTTATTAATTATTAATTCAATATATTTTTTTTTATAATTATTCACAATTTTTAATAAGTTGTTATAAATAATAATAAAATATTTAATAAATTTTTAGTCGACATCTAATAATTAATTAATTAAATTGTGCAAAGCACAAATATTTAATTGAATTTATTAAACTAAAAATATATTATATTAATGTTTTATGAAATTATTATAAAATATTATAATAATAGAGCACAATTGTATAATCTAAAATTTTTTTTAAATATTTTTTTAAAATAATTTTCTTTAAGATAAGTAAATGGTATGTCCTTTATTAATGTTTATGTATTCCTAATATGATATTGAGATTATTGATATAATATTAATAGTGTTATGAATTTATAACAAAAAATTTTATTAAATTAAAATGGGTCGCAAAGAATTATTAAAAAACAATCTGATTCAATTCATATATAACACAAAACAGGGGAAACAGAAAATAAGGAAGTATAATAAGTTTTGGTTGTTTTGATTGATTAAATATCAAGAACAATACAAAATAATAGTTAAAGAATAATTAAATTAATGTAATTAAATATTTAATATAATAATATATTCTAATTATATATTTACGCACATGTCCTTATACCTTGTTATAATTAATTATTTAACAATCAGTCACAAAAAATGAGATTTTTTTTTACTACTCCATAATGAAAGCTTTCTTTTCACAATGAATAAATACTTTTATTTATATAATATTGCTTTTATTGATGAAAATTGAACATAAATTAATTATAAATGCATGACATAGAATTTTATATTTAGGAGAAATTTTTTAGCCAAAAAACATTTTCTTTGATTTAAAAAAATAATATGGTATTAGAGCATATATAGAAGTAAAATGTTAACGGATTTGTTAATTTCTAAAAAAATTTTATGTACAAAAAAAGAATCTCTTTTTATAACTTCAATTATCGTCAATGCAGTTTTTTGTACATGAACTAAGTGAAATTTTTAATCAAAAATAAATAGTTTTTCATAAATATGATGTTTATTATAATTATAATATATTTTAATGCAATAAGTTTTGGTATTTTTTATTTCTAATACAAAAGAGATAAAAATATTTATATTTTCTAAACTTTGTAGTTAATATTTATTTATCTTTATTTTTTAATCTTATTAAATATTCAATAATCTTACAATATAAAGGAATATTTATAATTTTATGTTTCCATTATAAAATAAAAAATATCAAAGTAATTAAGCATTAATAAAATTATAATAGCTTATATAATTTTTGTAATCTATATAAAATTATTAGATAAAAGTCAGAATTAAATAATTTTAATTAGATGATTAAATATTTGCTTTACAACAATTATTTCTAAACAACAATACAATAGGATCATTATTTAAGAAATAAGAATAAAAATAATTTTTATCTCTATCTAAATATGCATAAAATTGTATTTATAAGTTATGATGATTTTTTTGGATAATGATTTAATAATAAAATTCTAAGATCCCACTGTAATGTTAATATGTTTATAGTTTCTAATACTGTGTATTAATATCTCAATATAAAATATAAATAAAATATCATTTTACAGAAATATTACGGCATAGGAATGGTTCAAATACTGTATTATATTGCCTATTCACATTTTATCTTCTTCAAGACTCCTGGTTAAAATAATTAATTTATAATAATATATAATATATATTATATAAATATATATAATATATACTTTAATAATAAAATATATGGTAGGTACTATGAATTAAAGATACTATATTTAGTAATCAAAATTTTATTATCAATAATAACTTGGCAAAATACTTAGATATTTTCATTTATTATTTAATTTTATACATCTTTTAATTTGGTAAGAATATACATAAAATGTTTTAATGTATTAATTTTATTATTTATTATTTATTTTTTATTGCCAAGTAAATTATACATGATTTAAATTCACAAAAAATGGAGTCTTAAATTAGACTTTTAACATTCAATTATAAATATTAATCTATTTAGTTAACAAAGTTCTTTTAAAAATAATATTCACTTCACAAAAACTTTTAAAAAGAAATTGTGAATGGAAGAACAATGGAGTAAGAGCATTATATCATATTTGGATATTCACAATAAAAATCAATTTATAGATAAAACTATATAGATATCTATGCTGTATATTATAATTGTTTTTATTATTTAATCTGTTTAATTTCTTTTAAATATTTAAATGTATTATATTTTAAACATATTCATTTAATTTATTCAAAAGAAATTATATTATTATAAAATCATTTTCAAAAAATAGAAAAGAATTTTAATATTGAAAATTTTAATATTAATATATATAATAATATATTATAATAAACACAAACATTAAATGTATATTTTATTTGTTGTAGTAAATATTGAAAGAGTTTTTTAATAAATTTTCGTATTCAAAATGTAACTATGATCGCATTTGTATGATTGTGAAAATATTTTAGTATAGATGACTATTTATTATTGAAAATTATAATTGACGAAAAAAATTCAAAAATACACATTCTTTAAAAAAAACAAAATTTTAAAACATTTTATCGAATATTAAAGTAATATCAAGTAATTTTATGAATAAAAATATTTCCAAATTATTAATAATCTCGAACCAACGTCATAAATCATCTTTTTAGCATTTATAATTGAATGCGCAATATATTTCTTAAATTGTATAATAATATTAATAAACAATTATTCTATATTCAATAAAATGAAAAAAAAGAAAGATACAAAGTCTTATAAATATTTTTTGTGAACCAAGATCTATAAATTGATATTCATTACAAATTACCTTTTCAAAATTTTGCTTTCCATTTTTTTTTGCTATTAAAAAAACTAAATTGATTAAATCAGTCTATAATTTAAAACATGGGTAGTCATTATAAGACTTATGCAAATATTCATATATCAATTATATTTATATAATTTTTTATAAATAAGATTTTATATAAATAAGATAAACCTCAAATTACAATGATTACTATAATTATTTTTATATTGTTATATAACAAATTATGTATTTAATAATAAATTATATATTTTTACCATTATTTATAAAAGTAATTGGCACTATTCATAATTAAAATTTTCAATAATAAGATATTTTACATAGATTCAAGAAAGCTAAATAAGTACGAAAATATTAATTATGAAATTGAATATAATAGAGAAGTATTTACAAGAAATTCATGCAAATATCATTCATGAGACAAAAAAAATTAGAAAGTTTCAATAAGAATGAAATTAATTTTTACAATAGATTGCAAAATCTAATCATAAACATAAAATATAATATAAATGATGAAATAATCAGCGGGATAAAATAATAATTGCATATTACAGAAAAAAGTAAAATTAAAATAAAAAAAATAAATGCAAAATTTTTATTAAAAAAATCTATTATTTTAAAATAAAAATTTTCTTGTTCCGCTGATTATTGTTTTTAGTTTTTAGAGGAAAGCAAAATTTATATAAAAGGCATTTGTTGATTTTTGACACGATAAATTATTAGTATAATTATAAATTTAAAAAAGCATAATAGTTTGATATAATTTGAGATAATTTCGCATATACTATATACCATAAAATGAGAATATTATCATCAAATGTTTAGAATATTGGTTAATATTTTTGTTTATTACTAATAATAATTATTAAAAGATAATTATATATTTATTATTAAACTTGATAAACTTAAAAAATGAATAATTGAAGCATTAATTGACTAATTTGTTTAATATTTTGCTATTTTATAACTCATATTCATGTTTCGCCTAATTCGTAAAATAATCTATATATATTTAATTGATTATCATTATGTTGCGAAAATGAGTTCAAGTAATAATAATAGATAGTGATAAGTAATGATTCATGTACATATTTCGTTTGAAAAAGAAAGGAATAAGTAAATACTGCATTTTCGTTGATTTTTTTCTTAAAAAACAAAGTAGAAAATTTTTTCTAATTCATATTATGAATACATTTAACATTTTAAAGATTCTTATATAAATACTTATATTTAGCACATTTGCTAAAAATAAAAATAATTATGATACAAATTATAATATTAAATAACTGATTTATTTATTATTTAAATAACTGATGTCTATTTATAATATATAATAGATTAATAGTATAAAGTAATCAAAATATTTATTTATTTCAACTTGTGTAAATGTTTTCAAAAACTTTAAAATATGTATATAACATATAAATATTATATAAATTTTTCATGGAAAATAATTAATATAAACTTAACTTTGCTTAAAAAATAAGCAATGTGTAAAAATATTTTGATAATTTTAATAAAATTTTAATACAGTCTTATTTGGAAGTCGAAACAGATGTTTAATATTTTATATGGAAAAAAGTGTAAAAATTTACATTATTGAATGAATGCAATATTTAATTATTCCTATTATTAATTCATAACAATAATATAATAATTCTTAAAAAGAATTTCAATTCTAAATAACAATCTTTTTTTTTACATTCAATAGAGTAAAATTCGCTTGTCTACAGCTTTTCGACATATTGGACATTCCGACATCCGATCTCCACACATTTGACATGTTCCGTGACCGCATAAAAATATCATATTTTTTAAACGATCTAGGCAAACTGGACACATAGTCTGTAAGAAAAAAGAGAGAAAAAAAATAGTATTTATTAATCAAATTTTTAAGAAGACTAAGATTAAGAAAATTAAAATTTCAATGATAATATTATAAAAATTGTAAAATATAGTAGTAATAAAAATTAAAAGTAATAAAAATTGTAAAAAAAGTTAGTATAAATAATATATTTATACATTTATGGTATAAATAATATATAACTTAAAAATATCATTTTTAATACATACTTGATCTTTAATATCTTGAAGTTGCTGTTGAAGTTTCTGTATATCGTTATGAGATGTATCTCGGCTACCATTGTTCATCAAAATAGTTTCCCCACTTCCAGTATTTTGTTGCGGTAATTCTTCTTCTTGATCGTTCTTTACTTCTGTTATCGTTACCCCTAAGTAAAATAATTTTATAATGTATAAGAGAATGATATCAATTTGATTTTATGTTATTTTATAGTTATACATTGATTTATATATCAAAATATAATAATATATTATTTCAATTACCTGAAGCATTAGAATTTTTTACATAAGTAACGTCTCCCCCTCCACCACAACACATTGATAGTGGTACCATATGCTGAATTTGAGTTCTGCATTGAACGCATTTCTTCATCAGAGTTGCGCAACTTTCGCAAGCGCACATATGTCCACATGGACGAAATAGCATGCTAGCCTTTCGATCAGAACAAACGACACATTCCTCGATCTGTAAATTTATATTTAAAATTTATATTTTACTCAATTTATATTTAATATTTTATTAAATGTTGTTAAACATATAATACTTTTGTTTTTTTTAAATTATTGATTTTTTTATTATTTGTAATATTTTTTATTTTATCAGATTCGAATTAAAATTTATGATAAATTCTGTGATAAAAAACATTTGAGAGAAAAAGAATATTATTTTATCTAGAATATTTTTTTTATCTATGAAACAAGAAACATAATACATAAATATACATAAATGAAATTAATTGATGATCTTATATTATGTTGTGAATATTATGAAAGTTATGAATAAAATTGATTTAATTTGTTAATATATATTATTAATGTAATATTAATATATTTTGATATATTATTATTATTTCATTAAAAGAATATTTTACCTTTGTTCTCGAAAGAACATTCTCTCTACATATTAGACATTTTTTCACTCTTGGCGCACAAATATTACAACAAGTTACATGACCGCAGGGACTGAAAAGCATTTCACGTTTTCCATCGGAGCAGACCAAACATTCGTCGATCGTAGCTGATGGGGCTGCCGTTTCGATATCATGTCTGAAACTATAATTATACATATGTCAACTAAACGAAAATAAAAGTTTCTTAAAGTGTATTGTTAGAATTGGAAATAAAATTTAGAACTTTATCAAACTACTTATAATCCTGGATTAAATCAATTCATCACATTATGGTTCGAATTGATTTAATTTGGTTAACATCTAAAATTTTTTTTATTATACTTTTATCGAGTAGTTTGAAAAAATGTTTTAAAATATTTTTGTATCCAAGTTTTAATTTTATTATTATATAAATCTCAATAAAATCAAATAGAATTTAATATAATTTATATTTTTAAATTTTCAAATTAGGAGAACTTCCAGAATTCATGTAATCATGCGAAAGTTAAAATGATACATATTTAATTTTGCAAGTCATTATTTTTCAACAAATAATATTTTTCATGCATAATCACGATAAAGATAGATGTTAATTACTATACTAACGATTCTTTATCCTTGTGGCAAGTAGTTAATGTTTTGCAAAGATTTGGATCCGGACATAAGTCGAGAGGAGTTTGTCCTTTCTTATTTTTTAATTTTAAATCGGCTCCATGAGCAGCTAGGAACAAGCGATGAACGAGCTACTCTTCTTGTCCTGTCCTTGTGCGCCTAGACCCATCAAAAGACGTCCTACGTCCTGGACATCCTGCAGCTGTCGCAGCTGCGACAAAGTATGATATCTCAAGGCTTCGTGAAGAGGCGTGTCCCCATCCTTGTCTGCCACGTTCAAGTTAGCGCCCGCGCGTACCAGAAGCTAAAAACAGAATTTACAAGCCTTGATTAATTAATAGATCACTTATTAACTTTATAAATATTAACTTTATTAATTTTTTTATAATTAACTTATTGGTTTCAAAAACATTTTAATTATGTACGAATCGACATCCATAATTGTTCAATTCTGACTTTGATTTGATTTCACATTTCTTCGATCGATATGGATCTTTTGTAAATATTTTTGAAAAAAATTAAGATAAAAATATTTGTGATTGGAAAGAATATCAGATCTACTATAATATTAAGAATCATATTATTAGTTTCGAAATGTTATTATATACTTCTCTTCAACGTTTTTATTAATTGTCCGATAATGATTTATTGAGTTACTTTTTATCTTCAATGAAATAGAAAAAGAATCATTTAAAAGAAAATATATTTCAATTTTTTGGAGATATTGAGATTAATGCTCGAAACGTGTTTTTGAAAGAAATTGGAACAACGGAAAAGTTCACCGGATCGTTTTGTGCAGAGCATATATCGGATCAGAGAAGCGAGGAATTCTCTTTTCCCAGCTTGGTGAAATAAACGTACACGAACGATTTGCGTGTGCTGTCGCTCGACAGCGAGATGCAACGCGGTCTGCAAATTGACGTTTTGCAAATCCAGGTCAGCTTTTCCAGCACGTGCCAACTGTTCAGCAACTTCGACGTGATTGTTCAGAGCAGCCAGATGAAGAGCCGTGTAACCATCGTCCTTTTTCTCGTCAACTATCCATGGTCTCGGAAGTTTCGAGAGGAGTACCCGCATTGCGCTGCAATCACAAGATAAATATCACTTTTATCGTATAATTGATATATAATTTTTTTCATTGTTCTTAATTCTTTGATGGAAGTAAAGATACAAAAAATGTAGAAAAAAGATTTTTAAATACTTTTATAAAAGTCATAAATTTACGAAAAAATTGAAAATTTCTTTTAACCCTTTCTATTTTTGGTTCCGAAGATGATTATTTTTAACAAACTTACATATTAATATAATAATCTGAAAAAAGAAAATGAGAAAATTATTAGATATTTTCATCCACGAATCTTGTGACATTTTTTCCAAAAATATCTCACGAATTCACTGTAATTATTACTGCGTTTCTTCTTTCATTTTCCTATACTAAACTGTTGACAGAACACGCATTTCGTCCATAAGTTGGTTACAAAAGTTTAGGAGATCAGCGCCATCTCGCGTTTGGATCCTGGAAGTTTCAATTCGTTACTAGTATAACAGAATGTGCAAAGAGGTATTCGTGACGTCACAGAAGAACGGATAAAATATTTCGATGAATTGAAAATTAATTAATTACTAATTTTTTACTAACAAATTCTGTACTTTTAAGTTTGTATCGTGTAGTTGAAAGTTCAAACAAGTTTCTCATATAAATTTTAATCTGAAATTCTCTTCAATTAATAATTTATTAACGATTGTCACAGAGAGTATTTCAATCGTGAATCCCTAATCCAGTATAATAAATTTATTCATACAATAACAAATAACAATAAAATTATGAATAAAAATTATACGTGAAAGTAGAATAGAAAGCAAGCTTTCAGATGCATACATTCATATTTATAAATAAATTTTATAATAATGAAAAATTAATGAAAAACGCGTTGCGTATCAACGTATATTGGTCCGATTATGTGTCGGATTAATCGTTAATAAATAATTAATTGAAAAAAAATTCACGTTAAAATTGATACGAGAAACATACTTAAAGTTCCAACTTGACGATATGAGCTAAAAAGTGCAAAAATATTAAATAATGATTAAGTAATGAGTAATTTATAAATTTTCAACATGGCGTCTTCGATACATTATGACAAATGTATCTCGTCAGTCGTTAATAAATAATTAATGGAAAAGAATTTCATATTAAAATTGATATGAGAAACTTGTTTAAAAATATAATTTCAAAATGTGAGCTTAAAAGTGTAGAAATTTTGAGTAGAAAACGAATAATTAGTGAATTTTTCATTCATGGTATGCTGGAAATGGTGGGGGATATTCTCTGTCCTTCTCGCACAATATTCCTTTCTTTGTCGTTGACTTCGAATGCCTCCTTATATATTCTGTTATCCTAGTAACAAATTGGAGCTTCAGCGATCCAAACGCGAGATGGCGCTGATTAAAAATTTTTTAATTGTTGTCTAACTTATCGACAAAATTTAATATATAATATAATATAATATAATATAAATATAATATACTCCATGCACATTTTTGTATTTTTATAAATCGTACATGTATTGTGTGCATCTTATTTTTGTTTTTTTTTTATATTTTGTATATATACACATTCTCCATACATTTTTAAACTGTTATATGTATGAATATATATTTTATATGTATCTTTGTATATCGTACAACTTAAAGAAACAAATAAGACAAATATAGAACAGGCGTAGAATAAAACACATAGAATTTTTAAAAAATTTTCGTATCATCTTCTCTCGGTTTTTATTAATTCTCTTAATTTTAGAGAATTTTCAAGAAGAGAGATCTTCGTCTTCAAATTTCAGCCAATTGATTCAAAATCATTTCTATCATAGGATAGCGCAGATTTCATGAATTAAAATTAAAATTAACCAAAGAATCAATGGTATTATCTACCATAAGAGTGATCACGGACGGAACAACTTTCTTCGTGCTCGTTTCGCAATGAAAATAACAAATAATCAATTTAATTTTTTATTCTATCTTCTCCTCCAGGCAAGTGAAGCGAATCTAATTTTTCAAGCGAGAATCAACAGAATCAACTTAACGAGCATCGGAATATTTAGCTAAGGGGGCTAAGAGCACGTGCGATCAGGAAACGGTGATTTTCACTGGCAAATTCGAAACGGATTTGTTATCAAAGGATGGGCAATCAATTACATTGTTTGGCAAACGTTTGTAATTCAACGCCGCATTATTGCTTCGCGTTAGTGTCGCAGCGTGCAGTTAACCGATGATAAATCGTGTGAAATCAAACAGATATGTATATTCGTCGTCTGCGGATTTTCCGCGATGGCGAATAGTTAGTTTGCGCGGGAATCGGGCGAAATCCTTTCGGTTTATGGCCACGGCATCATTAACAGACGCGGTTGTCGATTAACAAATCCTGTAAACTCTGGTTGGTAATGACGTTTGTAGATTATTTAGCAACAGATGTTTACGATAATGTACACATATATCCGCGTTTCTGCATATACTATATCGATGCGTGGAAAATAAAGTCGTATCGGTTGAAATATATTATTTGTTCAACATTTATATTGGACGGCAAAAAAAAAAAAATATCCAAAAAAATATTTTTTACGCGTCATTAAACTTTTTGTTATTATTTCGATCGAATTTATTTCGATTCGGTTGTTTTTATATGTTTTAATAATTTATTTTATGGGATCAATTTATTGTAGAAATAATAAAATCAATTCAAAAGATTGATGAATTTTAATCGATATACAGGTAGTGGGGAAGTCACTTTGGCCTTATATCACTATGAGAATTAACTAAACATGGAATTTGATTTGCGCACTTGACTTTGAAGAGGAAGGAACCGTCCCTCGAGTGTTAAGAATTCGTAGCCTGAACTATATTCTGAGATCGATCACATCTTATTATTTCTATATTTTTAACAGAATACGATATTATTATTCATTTCCCATCATTTCAAGTTATTACACTTTTAACGATAAAATTAAAAAATAATCGTTGATCGAGAGGGAATAATAATCGCTCGATTTATTTTCGTTTTGAT